ATTTTGTCCAGTCCATTTTTGGGGTTTTGCGTGGAATGTGTCAGATTTGGCCTTTTGTTTTTCCACTTTCTTTTGTGTCATACCAATACAAACAAAATAAATAAACATGACAATGCCAAAACATTTTTAATTGCAAACATTTTCTGGGCACAGTGGTGCATTCCTGAGGATCAAGTGGTGACAGTTTTCAGGCATTTGTGTCCCTACACACTTCTGTAATGCTTTAAAATGTGCGTTTTCATCCAATGTATTCGTTTTTCCTTCAATAGATATTTTTGAAAAAGTTTGCATTTAGAAGATACACTTGCAACTGCAGCCATGTGCACAGGTGGAAGTATAGAATCAATGACAAACAATTTGAGTGTGGCCGTACATAAAACAGTAAAACCGTAACAAGTGTCGAGATAATTGGTATGTCAGTAGGTACACAGATCATGTCATAACAATGATATAATGTGGATAACAGGAGAAAAACTATACGCCTGTAACCCGAAACTAGGCGTTGGTGAGGGAGACGTCTGTGTATAAAGTTAACTGAGCAAAGTCTCAAACAGACGAATATAAAAGAACAAACCATAAATTGTCTCTGTGGGAGAGCCAAGAAGAGGAAAGGATAAAGGAACACGAGATAGAAATAAAAGGGACTACATCAAGAGCGCCTGAGCCCGAGCTGTAGGGTCTCTGTATTTATAGCAATGTGAAACTGGCCTTTGATATAGAAGGATGGGCATGTTGGATCCACGGAGTCCATATTTTAAGAAATGTTTAATGGGTATCTAAAAGAATGCTGGAGAGCTTTTCATTGACAAAAAAGATCTCGGCATCGGTGAACTCTTGTGAAAGGAGTGAACTGTTGTTTCCAGGCTGTCGCTATGGTTTGTTTTGCTACCAGTAATATGTAGGTAGCCAGTTTAAATTGAAGTTTGGTGAGGTCCGGGGGTTTCAGGTGCAGAAGGACATGCCACAGGTCCTTTGGGAAGGGACAGGTAAATAAAGATTGTAAGAGTTTAAGTACCTTTGTCCAAAACCGGGAGAGCATAGGACATGCCCACCATAGATGGAGGACATCTCCCGGGTTAGGACATCCCCTGAAACAAGTGCCGAGGCTGACGGGTGAAGCAGGGCCGGATCAGGGGGCCCCCAGATTATAGTCATGCCTCACCCAGGTCTCTGAGACTACACTCACTGATCCATGAGTCAGTCTGAAGTAAAGAGGCACACTTATGGTTACAATCCATGTAAGGGGGCACTGTGATGGGGACATCTGATGTAGGGGGCACACTGATGGGGATAACTAATCAAATGTAAGGGGGCACTGATGTAAAGGGGCACGCTAATTGGAACATCTGATGTAATGGGATAATCTAATGGGGACCCTGATGTATGGAAGCATACTGATGGGGACCCTGATATAAGGGGGTACTCTGATAGGAATATGAAATAAAGGGGTACTCTGATGAGAACTCCTGATGTAAATGGGGACTCTGATAGGTACATCTGATATAAAGGGGCAAAGAATCTGTTTAGTCACCCTAATCCAATTACAGCCTAATACATACTAGTCTTTCCCAGGTCGTGACACTATATAACAGACTGTCAGCGACTCGCATAGTGTTGTCATTATGCCCCCTGACTTTTGTTTACTGCACCCCCTAGATTCGGCCCTAGGGTGAAGGTGTGCCAGGCGGGATGAAACCAGATACCACCTCGTGACAGTTTTAAGGCCAATTCAATAATGAGAATGTTGTTAGAGCAGGAAGTCAAGGAAGTCCAAATTTGTGCCCAGCAGCCCCTTGCTGTGTAGCATATAGAGAGGTCATAGATGCGATCTGAGCCGCCACATAGTTCTTGGAAAAGTTAGGAACCCCCAGACCCCCTTGTTTCCTGTGTATGAGCATGGTATGTTTGGTGAACCGAGGTCTCTTGTTAGACCAGATAAATCTCAAAACAGAATTTTCGAATGACGTAAGGGCATAAGAGGGGAGAGGAATGGGCAAAGTGAGGAATAGATATAACCATTTTGGAAGAATTTGTCATTTTTACAGCATTGACTCTGCCAATCCATGAAAGGTGGTAGTGAGGCCAGGACGTAAGGAAAGCTTTAAGGGAGCAAAAAGTTGGGATGTAGTTAGCTTCATAGAGGGTGTAGTAGAATTTGGTAAGACAGATCCTTAAATAGTCTAAGTGGGCAGTAGACCAGGTGAAGTTATAATTTTGTTTTAATAAGTCGATCTCGGCTTTAGGGAGAGAGACATTAATAACCGATGATTTGCCTTCATTCACCACCAGGCCAGAGATATTAGAGAAGCAAGTGAAGGTAAAAAAAAAGAACAGGCAATGTGATGTGGAGCTTGGTCAGGGTCAGGAGCATATCGTATTCAAATTAGTTAACCCTGAATGATTGTTAGGCGACCATAACCCCTTTAATATCTAGGTTAGATCTAATGAGGTGTAATAGGGGTTCCAAGGCTAGAATAAAAAGTATAGGGGATTGAGGAAACTCTTGGTGAGTACCCCTGTGAATTGGAAAGGAAGGGGATTGCCGAGAGAGGTAACACACCGTTATGGGCCTATGGTATAGAGCTCCCAGTCGGAATGTAAAAGTAGTCGGGAATCCCATTTATCTAAAACATAGTACATATACTCCCAGGATAGAGAGTCAAATGCCTTATGGATATGCAAACTGAGAACCATAATGGGGTGATTTTGATGCAGCAGGTGGATAAGATTAATTACTTTGCGAGTGTTATCAGGAGCCTGCCTAAAAGGGATGAAACCCACTTGGTCTTTATAAATGAGATGGTGCAGAAATTAGTTTATCCTAGTGGGAAAGATTTTGGCGAGAATTTTAATGTCGACATTTAGTTAAAAGTTATGAGGATCTTTGGAATCTTTCCCGGGTTTCGGGATCATGACTATATGAGCTGTTGTTGATGACAGATGTAGATCAGTGTAGGTGTGTAAGTGGTTGAGTAAGTTGGTCAAGTGAGGAGCTAGGATGTCAGAAAATTTCTTACAGTATAACATTGAAAAGCCGTCAGGCTCAGGAGTTTTTTGCGTCTTTAGTGTTTTAATTGCCGCAAGGACTTCGGCAACAGTAACGTCAGCCTTCATTTTATCTGACATAGGTTGAGAAAAGCCAGCTAAATGGATATCCTGAAATAGAGCGTCCTCCAGGTCCCTTTGAAAAGGTTGCGAGGGCTGGTACAATGTGGTCAAAACTGAACTAAAAGTGTCCATGATTTTGGAGGGATTGGCTGTGATGACCTTGTTAGGTAAGCGTAACATGATCAGTTTAGTGTCCAGGGTGTGGACTTTAAGAAGATTAGCCAACATTGGGCCTGGCTAATTGGCTCATGCATAATATTTATGTTGAGACCATCTAATCTGTTTTTCCACCTTGTCACCAAGAATGATGTTAACTTCCACCCTGGTGACTTCCAGCATTTGTGTAAAGAGGTAGAGTGGGATGCTTTAAATTGAGCTTCCAACTGTGCAAGGGTGGAGGACAAGGATGCTATGCGGGAGTTCCTTTCCTTCTTATGGGATGCAAGCTGTATAAGTTTCCCTCTAAAGTCAAGCTTTCTGAGCGTCCCATAAGATCGTGGGAGAGGAAGCCAATTCAGTATTATCAGTGAAAAAGGTGGAGATAATAGAGAGTCATTAAGGCGCCAAGAGTAGTGCTGATGGGCTGAAACTAATGATTTATAGGTAAGTAGGAGTGGCGAGTGGTCAGACCATGATGTTGACAAAATCCTGACATTAAGGACGTCCAGAATAAACATTTGTGGTATGAAAAAGTGGTCTATTCATGTGTGGCAATTGTGAGGCGCTGAGTAGTAGGTATAATCCCACACTCTAGGGTTAAACTCCCTCCAGGCAGCCACTAAACTGTGTTCAGTGAGGAGATCTAAAAGTTGCAGCATTTGTGAAGTAGTCTCAGTAGAGGCCTGGGAGGAGGTGGTTGAGGGGGATCTATCTAGTTGCCTGTTCAATACCAGGTGGGTGTCTCCCATCATGATCAGAGCCCTTCCTGTGTGAGAAAACCACGCTTAACAAGTAAGAGAAAAATCGAGGAGTATTGGGGGCATAATAATTAACTATGGTCACTTCAACATCCAAGAAGTAACAAATATCGTCCTGTAGGATCTGCGATCTCAAGGGAGCATATGAGAGGAGTGCTTTTATGATATGCCACTAAGATGCCTCTCCCAATGTATTGTTAGTTTTGAATCATAGAAAGTTACTTGGTGAAACATGACCCTATTTAAACTTTGTAATGGCTTTGGCAGCTAGGAGGAAATAGAATTTCTGCTAGGATTGCTTGCTGCTGGAGTCTCTCAGATATACACTGTAGCTATAACAACGTCAATTCTTCTGTGGAGGTTGTCCACAACGTTTAGGAGTGTGTCTATGGGAATGTTTGAACATTTTTCCAGAAGTGGATTTGTAAGGTCAGGCACTGATGTCGGACAAGAAGGCCTGGCTCGCAGTCTCCGCTCTAATTCATCCCAAAAGATCTTCTATCAGGTTGAGGTCAGGACTCTGTGCAGGCCAGTAAAGTTCCTACACCCCAAACTGGCTCATCCATGTCTTTATTGACCTTGCTTTGTGCACTGGTGTGCAGTCATGTTGAAACAGGAAGGGGCCATCCCCAAACTGTTCCTACAGATATTGGCGCATGAAATTGTTCAAAATGTCTTGGTATGCTGACGCCTTCACTGCAACTAAGGGGCAAAGCCCAACCCTTGAAAAAAAAAAACTCACACCATAATCCCCCCTCCACCAAACTTTACACTTGGCACAATGCAGTCAGGCAAGTACTGTTCTGGAAACTGCCAAACCCAAACATGTCTATCAGATTGCCAGACAGAGAAACATGATTCGTCACTCCAGAGAACACTTTCTCCACTACTCTAGAGTCCAGTGTCGGCATGCTTTACACCACTGCATCCGAAGCTTTGCGTTGCACTTGGTATGTAAGGCATGGGTGCAGCTGCTCAGCCATGGAAACCCATTCTATGAAGCTTTCTATGCACTGTTGTTGTGCTAATCTGAAGGCCACATGGAGTTTGGGGGTCTTTAGCTATTGACTCTGAAGACAGTTGGCAACTTCTGCTCACTGTGCGCTAAAACATGGGCTGACCCCGCTCTGTCATTTTATGTGGCCTACCACTTCGTGGCTGAGTTGCTGTTGTTTCCAATTTGTTATAATACCACTAACAGTTGACCATGGAATATTTAGTAGCAAGGAAATTTCACAGATGGACTTATTGCACAGGTGGCAACCTATCATGTTACCACACTTGAATTCACTGAGCTCCTGAGAGCGAGTCATTCTTTTATAAATGTTTGTAGAAACAGTCTGCATGCCTAGGTGCTTGATTTTATACACCATTGGCCACGGAGGTGATTGGAACACCTGAAACCAATGATTTGGAGGGGTGTCCCAATACGTTTGGCAATGTAGTGTAAGAAGTCAACTCTACAGCAAGTGATTCAGCTAGAGAATTCCAATGTAAAATACATTTAACCACTTGCTAACCGTGCTATAGCCGAATGACGGCTGTAGCATGGTTATCCAGTTTTGGTAGGGCGTCATATCAACACACATCGGTGAAGGAGAAAAATTACCCGTTTGCTAAATTTTATAATAGAAACAAAGAAAAATATTTTTTTTCAAATTGTTTGCTATTTTTTGGTTTATAGTGCAAACAATAAGAAAAACAGTGGCAATTAAATACCGCCAAAAAAAAGCTCTATGTGTTTATGAAAAAATTATAAAAATTTCATATGGGTACAGTGTTGCATGACTCTGATATTGTCATTCAAAGTGCGACAGTGCTGAAAGCTGAAAATTGGCCTGGGCATGAAGGAGGTATAAGTACCAAGTAGGCAAGTGGTTAAATTGTATTTCCACTTTTGCAGCTAGATTAGGACAACATCCACTTTAAAATTGTTCTCATTCACATAACTAAAAAAAAATGCTGCTTGCATGTTACTTGCTCTTTCCTAAAATCTCCAAAACTGAAGTTTTCCCTTATATACAGAGAGCCAGGAAATTGATGTTTGTCATAATCGACCTTGTCTGTGGTGTGCTGGCAGATCTCATTATCAGTTGGAAACTAGATTTGAACATCACCTGTCCCAACAAAGGGTTGCAGTTCTGGAAGCTGGCCTTCTTATTCTATGTTAATGAAGGAAACCCAGTGTGTCCCTGTTTTTTACTGAGGATAGATTACATTTAATCTCATTTGAATTTGTTCCCAAGCAACATGTAGTCTGCCCTAGACCTGCTCCAAACAAACACTTAGAAAAGTAAGAAATATTTTGTTTTAATTATTTTAGGTGTGCAGTGTGAATACATAAAGTGGGGTCTTCTCAAATTTGACCGTGAAAGTGTAATCCTACTTTAAATTGGGTGGTGTGGGCCTTCTGTCACTCTTATGTGGTCTTTCTGGTTAGGGTTGACTTAACACTGTCTTTTTATGCTATGAGATCTTCGCTAAACCCTGAACTCAGCTGCCAGACTCATCCACCTTACCACCCGCTCCACCTCTGCCACCCCCCTCTGCCTCTCCCTCCACTGGCTCCCGATTGCCCAACGCATCAAATTTAAACTCCTTACCCTGACCTACAAAGCCGTTCACAACACTGCCCCTGACTACCTCACCAATCTGATCACCAGGTACCACCCTACCCGTACCCTTCGCTCCTCACAGGACCTCCTTCTATCCTGCTCCCTGGTCTCCTCCTCCCATGCACGACTGCAGGACTTCTCCAGGTCCTCCCCCATCCTCTGGAACTCACTGCCCCAATCCATCAGACTGTCGCCTTCTCTATTCACATTCAGGCGCTCCCTCAAAACCCATCTCTTCAGGGAAGCCTACCCCACCCTCACCTAACGGCCATCCTCCCTCATTCCTCCTACCACTTCATCCCCCCCAGCCACTTCCTACTGTACCTTTACCCCCTCCCTCCTAGATTGTAAGCTCGTAAGAGTAGGGCCCTCTTACCCCTCGTACGCTGTCTGTCTTTGTTGTACTGTGCCATGTATTGTCCCCCCCTATTGTACAGCGCTGAGCAAACCCTTTGGCGCTATATAAACTCGTAGTAATAATAATAATAATAAACCAATCAGTAATGTTTTATTGAACTACGGTAGTTGCTGTTTTAGACTATCAACTCTACTGGAATTTACTAAGAAACATATAAGGGCGATGGCAGAAAAAGACCATGTGGTCAGCCAATTCTCTCCCCCCCACCACCCTTTTTTTTTATGTTTTTTTTTTTTTTTTTGTGAATTGACATGGATTTTGCCAAGCTTCATCAATATTTCATGGTAAATTTTTAATTCCGTATTAGTTAGTTTTCTTTTTCAATAACCTGCCTCTCAGTTGATAATTTAAGGGGAATTTCAATGACCAGTTTTCTTATTACAGTATTACAATTTTAATGTATCCATTTCTGTAAACAGTGCATACTTGATCTGGCTTACCAGACATTTGCATAACCACCCTTGACACCGAACTCCTTGCCAACGGCAGCTTGTTGCTATGCAACGTAATGGGACAAGATATTAATGGCATTATCTTTTGAGCTGGCTGCACTCTGAGGAATACATTGTTTATCCGATGCAAAGAAATCCACTTAATTGGCAAATAAGTAACACCCAGTTACAGTGTGCATCAATCAGTGGCAGAATGTACACAGAGAGTTAATAAGAGACCCTGGTTCAAATCCCATAGGAGACACCTTTCTTGAAAAATAATAGTAATGGGTAAATCTGCACTTTTTAAATCATTCATAATGCTAATTTTCATATATTTAAATCTGAAACTCTTTTTAAAATGTTTCCAACTTGTGGCTCCAACAATGCTCATAGATTACAGCCTCTATTGGGTAAGATTAAAGGCCAAAGTTCACCTTTTCCAGAATATAGTCTATGTTGTCAAAGGGCCCCATTAGATATTAAAATTCTGTTCTGTTGTTTTACCGTAAGCATTTGGTTCCCCTAAGAAGCCTGTCTAAAAAAACTCCTAGTTAGCAACCCCCTACTGCCTTTCACACTGTTAGGATGCAATAACCATTGGTTTTCATTACTGCAATGCTCGGAGTAAGCAGGTTTTGGCCTCCTAGCAACATGTCAGGGTTGCTAACTAGGCATTTATTAGCTAGGCTTCTGGGGGGGGGGGGGGGACATCAGAGCGAGAGAAATAATTCAAGGGCCAGACCTCTTGTGTAACTCTAATCCGGTAACCTGTAAAGGCCTTTAAAGTATCACCTATGGATGAATTAATGTACGATACTTTGTCGCCATTCCATGGCCGTGCACAATTTTAAAATGTGACATGTTTATTTACTTGGCGTAACGTAATCTTTTATGTTTTACCAAAAATTGGGTATTCTATTATGTTTGTGTTGATTAAAATTCCATAAAGTGTATTTTTTCCCAAAACATTGTGTTTGAACAGGTGCTGTGTAATACCGTGTGGCACAAAAATTGCAACCCTGACCATTTTATTCTCTAGGACCTCCGCTTAAAAAAATATATAATGATTGGGGGTTCTAAGTAATTTTCTAGCAAAAAATTGCAAATGTATGACAGAAATTTCAGAATTGGCTGGATAGGCAAGTGATTAAAGTACCTGGTCACCACAAGGTCACATTTACCCAATAGACTGCCTGTAAAAAAAGCATGAATATACCTACCCGTCTGGTGGCCCGAGTTCTGAAAAACCGTTGCATCTCCAATCCCTACTGCTGAAAGTATTTAATCATCAGATGAGTCAAATACTTGCTTCTTCTCACTACCGGCTTGTATATCCTGTCTACGTATGTCCTTGTATGTCCTTGTCTATGATATGAACAAAGAAGGAACCAAAGTGGCTGATGGGGCAACAGGTATTCTACATATCTGGAAATGTTGAATACTTACATACATGGACCGCCTCATATATGTAAGTATATTAACACTTCTTTTACAAGTGACCTATTGGGTAAAAGTGACCTTGGGGTGACGGTCACTCCAGTAGGCATTTCCAAGTAAAGTGCAAGTGCAACACTAGTGTCAAGTTTGTTTAGAGCCCATAGCCTGGTGTGTAATGGTAATTTATCTGCAGCCCCAGCAATACTACCAGGGCTTATATCTGGAAGTGTGTAAGAGCTACACATTTCCATTCATTCAAAGAACTGGCTTGTACCATTTGATCATGTACTGTATTATTGTATTGTTAAGGTGGTTCTAAAGGCTCAAGGTTTTACCTTCATATATTCTGTGCATGAAGGTAAAAAACCTTCTGGGTGCAGCGGCCCCCCCAGCACCCTCAGGCCTTACCTCAGCCCTGTCCAATCCAGCAATGGTCACGACAACCTCTGCTATCTGGGGACTGTTCCTTCTCATTGGCTGAGACAGCAGTGGGAGCCTATTGGCACCCGTTGCTCTCAATCACAGCCAGTTAGCCAATGAGGAGAAAGGGGGGGGGCCAAGCCACAACTCTGTTTCTTATGGACACATGGAGCAATGGCTCGGGGATGAGCATGCAGCACTGCCCCCCAGGGTGAGCGTCTTTCCCTAGGGGCACTGCTTGAGGGGCGGAGCCAGGAGCATAGGCAGGGACCCGAGGATTGGGGCTGCTCTGTGCAAAATCACTGCACAGAGCTGGTAAGTATAGATATTTTTATTATTTTAAAAAGAAAAAAAAAAAAACACAAAGCTTTAGTGTCACTTTGAGCTGGCCATACATTAGTAGAATTTTATTTTACATTTTTTTTTTCCTTTCAGCATCCTTATTTGAATTTCTAATGGTTAGTGAAGTCAAATCAACATTCATCAAGTGAAGCAACAATAAAATTCAAATGAGCAGGATAGAATTTTTTTCTCAAATAAACAAAACTCTAACTGTGAATGTGGTTGTTTAGGAAAAATCATACATATTGTAACAACACCTGTTTTGGTATGTCGGGGATTCCATTCAAATAGTCGGTCTGGACACATTTTTTTTTTTTTTAATGAACGCTTAAAGGAAAATATAATTGTGAATGACCGTCTTTAGTCCAAAGGATGTGTTAATGTGTGACCCAGCCTTTGTCAAACCAGGTGCCCAGGCTCTCTGAGGTGCCTTCAGGTTTCTTCAGGGTGCCTTGGAAAAATGCCTAAAAATTGTCCAAAAAATAGTATGCAAACCAGCAGCAAAGGTGTACTTGCTTTGGAAGGATAATCACCTCTAATGTTGGGAGTCCTACTTGTGTGGATGATGCTGCATTATGTAAAAAACTATTAGTTTAGTTTTTTTTACATTTTAGAATGGCGTGCCTCATGATTGTACCTTAACAGAGAAGAGGTTGAGAAACACTGATGTCACCTGACTT